TTCCCAACACTGAAGGTGACAAAAGTATGAGCTAAAAGGGGAACATGAAAGAGGCAACACTGAAATGAAGGTTTAACCGCACAACAATATTCCACCGGGACAAAGGTGAGACAGGGCAGAGCCATCTAATCAAGGCCAGCGATAAGAAGGTCACTATGACAAGGAGCACAATCAGCGAGACTAGACAGACTGCTATTGGCATGCATGGCACAGCAGTGTGATCAGTCAAATAAACACAGTGGGAGCCACAGACAGAACAACATCAAGGTGGCACTCATAACAGCCCCGGTATGTTAGACAATACGTTTGCCAGTCAAACAATGTCATTTGTAGTTAATCAGAGTTAACGTGCAACCCTGGTGTGTTTTACCAGGTTAATTATGCCACAAACAGAACTGCTAAACTGTGTATTTCCAGAGCAAGAAATGAAATCTGAAGCTCAGAATTGGCATTAAACCCTTTTTATTGTTGCTTCAGTTAATAATCAGCAGCGCTGCATATTGACTGATCAGGCAGTGAACATTACCCATGAGCCAAAATATGATTCACAGTACTAACCTTGACCAGGCAGGAGTTGGTCACCACCTGTTTGGGGTCTACTACGTCCACCAGGGGTTCCTTCATGGCCACGTTACGGATACACGTCATGTCAAAGCCATACACGTTCTCCCACCCTGGTAAATATAGCGTCACAAAATGATTTTGTTATCACATCCTAAACATATTTAGAATTAATCTTTTCTTGTTGTATTTGCTCCAAGTTTCTATTTGGTTTATAGAGCCAGCAAAAGCCACAGGATATGTAAACATTTGGGCTGAATATGAAAAAATAAATAAATAAAAATCTCTGGTTGGGGGCTTTGCTCGTCCCAGAATAGTCTCATCTAAGATCCTAGAGATATATATCCTGACATTTTGGAATGATTTTCATTTTGACAGATGAAAGTCACATTGTATATGGCGATGAATCGTCAACACGAGCCCTCGAACGCAGGCAGCATTCTTGCCCTGGATATCCTCGTCGCTCAAGTGAAACTGGTGCATAAATTATTCACAAAGCACCTTAAGAGAGTGTGTGAGCAAACATCTCTGTTGTGGCCCAAGAGGCAGGGAAGAACTACTTGAACGCGCTGAAATACTGGTGATAATGAACAGGTCACAAACCCCCGGGGGCTTTTGT